TTTCCTTAAGAGCCGAGAGGCTGGTATTTCATTTTTTTTAATAATGTGACTTTACCAGGGCGAGCTGGTTGTGAATTAGTACTTCATTATGTGCTGACATCAAACAGAGTCCCCACTTCAGAATTACCTATTGAAGAAAACAGTTAAGATTTGGTTGTCTGACTCATTTAGGTCCTTGAACATCCTACTGGTATAGAATTACACATAAAGTATGTTTAACAACTTCTGCTGCTTTGCATAATAATGAGTCTAATGAAGTAATGGAATAAATATGTTTGTGGCTCTTAAGGGACGATTATGTTTGTAGAGCATGAACCCTTGTTCTGCAGTTATCAAAACATGGTAGAATTGCTAATAAACATGTGTTGACAATAAATATCAATTGATATAAGTGTAATAACGTGTTTGATTGTCCCAGGACTTGGAGCTGGAAACCTACTGCATCCTTCTCCTCTCCAGGGAGGGAATGTGTCCTGTGTGTTACTTTAAAAAATAAATAAAAATTAGAAGATGGTGTAGTTCCTAGGAGCCTCTGCTAATCTTATGAAGGTTCTGTGTACAGACCAGTGTGAACAGGGGTGAAAAATCCCACAGGTTTTTTGGCACAATGTGATACAACTCAGTGCTGCCAACGGGCTGGAAGTTGGGTGTCTGGAGCAGCTTTGTCATCCGAAATTCTCTGGATCTTGCATAACTTGGTCTCTTATGTCTTTTCTAAAGCATAGGTTTATTATTTGATCTGATACTGATCTTTGATCTGTTTGGTTACCTTTGCTGATTACACAAGATCACAGAAACAAGAAACATTTTAGAAGGCACTCGCAGTGAACCCCAATGACTCTGGCCAAAAGACGTGCCTTCTGCAGATTAAGATAAATTATTATTTCTGCCTTCTGCAGATTAAGATAAATTATTATTTTTTTTTTTATTCTTTCTTATGTGTTGATACCAGGTGAGAACAAGGTCTGTTTTACCTTCTCCAGATGCTTCAGGGAGCATATTCTCTCCCACCTCCCCCATGAAATTACAAATGTGTCTTTTAATAACTGGGTATCACATGAACTTTTATATGCTTGTATTCTAAATGCGTAATGCTGTTATTCCAGAGCAGAGGCTGTGCAAATTATGCTATTGTTACTTTAACTCCATATTTGAAATCTTTCATTGCAATGTGCTTGAGACTTAAAACTTTTCTTATTAAATGGAAGGAGAGAACCCAATGAAATATGTAGTTTTCATATCCTTGCTGTTTGTATGTGCAAGAACACGTTTCATTGTTCTTCTTTTCGGGCAGAATAAAAGACTTTTCAATAAAGCTGAATTACATTTTCTTGCTCCATTTTATTGCAGTGGCATGTGTATTTCAGTTGATGTAACTTTATGTACTTGGTACTAAAGCAATGAGGCCAATATATGTATTAGCATGGGAAGGGAGAAGAAAATGCTGTTTCAGGAGTCAGAAAGGCCTCAGTTGCTAATTTTAAACTTTCTTCTATATAGCGAACTATAAACAGCCAATAAAAACATTTAATTTGCAAATTATGCAGTTCTAGATTGGTTTTATGTTGGACTTTTTTCTTTTCCTTGTGTAGTCAGGTTTTTGTAACATTTTTACCAAAATATTCTCAGTGTTAGAGACTTTGCCTGCTGGAGTTAAGTAATAAAGTTGGTCGTTTCCTACTGGAGTAGTAGCGTTTCAGATGGAATAAAAGTGGGGTGTAGTGAATCATAATAAATTCATGTAAGAAGCTGTAGACAAGATACCAATTAAAACACTTTGTTTTGATGACCAGCTTGAAAAAGTAGATAAAGTTTTAAAAATCTGATGAGTAAGACAAGCCATAGATCAACAGCTAGAACACAGAAGTACTTTATATCTGTTTCTGCCCTTTTCTTTCAAACAAAACAACGGGATCCTGTCATCCCATGGGGCGCTGAAAAGCGAGTCCTGCTCTGACTCATCGCTTCTCAAAACCATTTTCTGTCCTCTTCTTATCCTCATTTTTTGTTTCCAGTTATATTTTATCTATTAAGACATTTCAGCAGGAGAAGAGCCTCTGATTTCAGAGATACAAATCGATCTGTAAAAGTAAACACTCTTTTCCATTATTTGCCCACCTTTTTACAGTATTTTATTTACCCTGTCAGTTTTCTGAGGACTTAATGTTCCTTCCCAATGATTTCATGTAATAGCAAGTTTTCTTGGAAGATGTAGAACTACTCCCTAGTGCCATTCCTGTTAGAATACTGGCTTTATAAAACAAAGCAAACTCAAAAAATAAAAAGCCAAACAACAAAACCAACAAAAAAACCCCACCCCAAACCACCCTGCCCTGATCTTCCACCAAAGAGGGCTGGCTTTGACCTTCAGCACTCTGAATATGCTACAGAGGTGCCTGATAATCAGACTAGAAGCTCATAAAATCAGAGCAGAAGCTCGTGTATAAGCAGCGGGTATTTCCAAGGTCAGAGGTTTGGGCTTCATTGCGTTGTGTTAATAAAGAACTCTATTACTATTTTTCATAGTGATTTTTAATTATTTTCAAAGTGGTGCCAGACAACGTATAAAGAGAATGTGCAAGTATGTAAATGAATTAAGTGATGATATTTCTGCAGCTGTGTGATTAGTCTGGTACTTAAACCACTCTAGAAGGTAGGATGGAGAGCTTCCTGCTAATTAGTGAAAAATTATTCTTTCATTGTAATATGGCTCACGTTCTTCATTTTTCTGATGGCTTCTGCGTTGCTTCGTGTTTCCCAAAAAAAACCTACTCCCCTGTGACAGCAGTCTTCATCTGCAATCAGTGATTAATAACTTCTGCAGTACAACATTGCAACAGCTCAAACCTTATCCCCCAGTGGGTCCCCGCAGGATAATGGGCACGTGTTTTGGTGTGTCCCCACGGGTCACCTCCCTTCCCCGGGTGCTCCCAGCCCCGTCCCATCCCGCTCACGCACTGTGTCGGGCAGCTCAAAGGCGATGGAGTTTCTGAACGTCTGTGTGTGCAATAAATGAACGTGCGTGCTTGGAAAGCAGTGATAAAGCAGTTCATCTTAATTACAGAAATGATGGGTATTGCATAAGATTTATGGCTCTTGGCGGTTGTGATGCAAGAGGGCAAAATTTGGCCCAAATTAATTTTATATATAAATAGATTGTCTTTCTTTTGCTGTAAATTTTAAAATCTTACTTGCACACCTGTTTGCATTCTAGTGTAGAATTGTGTCTCTTCTTCTCTGACGTACCAGATGAAAGACCCAAACCTACTGTGTGAGTGAAAATATAGACCCTGACATATATCTGCATGGAAATTAAGTTGGAAAGCAGAAAATAGTCCTGTAAATAGATTTTCTTTCTTTTGCTGTAAATTTTAAAATCCAAGTTGCACACCTGTTTGCATTCTGGTGTAAAATAGTGTGCCTCTTCTTCTCTGACATACCAGCTGAAAGACCCAAACCTACTGCGTGAGTGAAAATGTAGACCCTGACATATATCTGCACAGAAATTAAGTTGGAAAGCAGAAAATAGTCCTTTTAAGGAACCTTCTATGAGATTTATATGCAGTAACAAAGAATATTAGAACAGTATTTTAGTGTGGCAATAAATGTATTTTTTTTTTAATGAAGCATTGAAAATTCTAATCACTCTTGCTCAGTGTTCTGACTATAACAGCTGTTGCTTTTCAATATTAAAAAATACTATGTTTTAGGAAATAGCTACTATTGGTCAACTTACTGCTCCTATTATGCTTGGTAATAAAGGCAGCCTTAGTTTCCAGACTGTGTTAGTATCCCTTACAAGGTTATAAACAAACCTTTTTAAAAAAATTGTTATTGTGTGGTTTTATGATGGAAAAACATACAGTTTATTCATGGAAAAATCTTTATTAGTGCACAACCTTAATCTTAGTTTGTATTGAGTGTTGTATCTAGCTTAATTCCAGGAGATAATGAGGCCATACTTCCTTGGATCTTGAGTCACCGGTTAGAGGGAAAGTTAATATAAATTCATGATGAAGTATTGCTGCTCTGCAATTTTGCATTTATGTTTACTCAGTACCATTTGTTTCTCCTTTTAAATAGCTTTAAAAGATCTCAAAAGACCTGAAGCCAGGTAGAGCAGAGCCCGGTTTACAAGGTTATAAACAAACCTTTAAAAAAAAAATTGTTATTGTGTGGTTTTATGATGGAAAAACATACAGTTTATTCATGGAAAAATCTTTATTAGTGCACAACCTTAATCTTAGTTTGTATTGAGTGTTGTATCTAGCTTAATTCCAGGAGATAATGAGGCCATACTTCCTTGGATCTTGAGTCACCGGTTAGAGGGAAAGTTAATATAAATTCATGATGAAGTATTGCTGCTCTGCAATTTTGCATTTATGTTTACTCAGTACCATTTGTTTCTCCTTTTAAATAGCTTTAAAAGATCTCAAAAGACCTGAAGCCAGGTAGAGCAGAGCCCTGGGTCACCACGCTGAGGTGCAAAGTGGTTGCCTTCACCAGGGCTTAGCGATGTGACCAGGGATTCTGCCACAGGGAGGTGGTTGAGGGGTTTCTTTTCTATTTGAAAAGTTACATATCTGTTTTCTGAATATCTACGTTATTAGCATTATTTTATGGTTGGTTAAAGGAGCTCAGTAGAATCTTGATGCTATTTTCACCAGAGCCTTCATTTGGGAAGGAAACAGCGGATTAAAGACCTATTTTTAAGTTATGCTTATGACTCCTTTTTGGTTATCAAAATTAGAGTAGCTTAAGTCTAGCATAAGAAGAAAATTAGCCAAAGGATCTGTTAAATGGTGCTCTTGTAAATTAGTTCAGTCCTAAATCTTTCATCCTCCCCTGTGTTGAACGGCCAATTCTTTTGCAACGGATTCACTGAAATCACTTAACTTGGTTGCATACTAAGAGGTTTGATATCAGGGCTTGAGAACTTGAAAATCCCTGTCTGTTTAGTCTTTTCCTAATACCCAGCTTGCCTTTTCTTTCAAAAACAGATCTTGAAAACTCCCGGACGAAGATGAGAAGCGCGGTGTCGGTTCGTGAGGGGCAGGGAGTCGTGCTGCTCTGTGGACCACCCCCCCGGGCAGGAGGTAAGGGACCTTCAGAGGTTAGTGCTTCCACTGGGGCTGACTGACCGTAGGGTGAAACATCTCCCTGCAAAGGCATGGAGAGATCCTTCCCAGGGACCAAGAATGAAAAACCTGGTTTCTGAAGTAAACACAGAGAGAAAGAAACCAAAATCAAAAGGGCGGGGTAGAGGGAAGTACTTAAGAGGATTTTCTTTTATCTTGAAATGTCTTTCTAGCTGCTAGCACTTAAAATGTCAGATTTTTATGATATTTCCAGTAATTAATTGCGTATCTTTTGGAGTTAAATTCTGCCCAATTTCCCAATTGCCAGGCCTCAATGAATCTAGTTTTCTCAATGACTAGACAGTTGCAAAGAACAGACTCATTATGCTCATATCTGCCTGTTTTCTTGCAATCAAGACATTTGATAGTGTAATGTAATGATGCTGGTGTAATTTAAAACCCTGCTGTCTGGAGGGGGGCGAGAAAACTGGATATATGGATTCTTGGTAGACCAAAAGTTGCAAATATGTTTTATCGTTCATTCTGCATCTTCAGGCTTTGACTAATTGGTATGGAGCCTCAAGTAATATTGGAAAGCAACTGGTTTTATTTGTTTTTAATTGATATGGAGCTTCATTATTGAAGGGCTGTGATGTTAAGCATTAGATTTGATTGCAAAGACAAGGTAATATAAACTAAACATTGAATACAATAATATAGGTATTGTGGCCTCTTAAATTTGGCAGAGTCCAAGAAGACGCAGCCATAAAGTGGCAATTTTACAACTGTCTGAGCTTGCAGAATTTTTCTCTCTAAATTGATACATACTCTTAAATCATCTTTATAGCCTTGCAACAGCTTTGTCTTTTCAGCTGCTGTGAAAATGGGTCATTCTCCCAGCTATCTATAAGAATTAAAATGATTAAATTTTACTTCCGTATGCAGTCCAGAGTCTGAATTACCCCAGCTATTTGTGTAGTCGCATCTTCTGCATGGGTGTGCAGCCAGAGGTGGTCACCAAACTGATGGCAACTCTGCGCTGAGTCTTGCAATGTTTAAGTTAGAGGTGTTAAACAGGAGTTGATACAGATGTGCTCATATTGCTAAGAACAGTGGGTCAAATCAGCACGTGGAAGAGGTGAGAATTTCTTTTGCAGTCAGCAGATGGGATATGATTGACACTGCCCACACTAATTGTGTTATTCGTGCAAAAAAACGAGATCTGAGGGCTCCCTGAATTATCAAATGGCATTGAGAATTGGTACCAGAATTATTTTAAATCCTTGGATTTGTCTGAGAGTTAGAGGATTAGCCATTAAAAGTTTTCAGGAGTCATGGAGCAAGGTGGATAAGTCCGTCTTCTTCTTTCTACGCTAAAATAAACCTATAGCACAGTGACATCAAGCACTAGATCTGGCACGGTAGGATGCGGGTCGGTAAGTCTTAGATAAAATATCCATGCATCAAGCAGAAGAGGTTTGTTAGGAATGGCAGGGTTGTTTCTGAACAGCTGACCTGGCCTGAGGGCTCTGAGGGCTGTTCAGCCCTTTCCAGATTGGTGATCTGATTTATTACCTTCTTTTTTTATTTCCCTTTGGTTCTGTATGTGTTGCACTGAGCTATCAAATAATTTCGGACAGTACTAATTCTAAAAACCTTCTCAAATACCTTGTTTTCTCTTCCCCTTAACCCCGACATCCTGTTCTTTTGCGTTCTGCCATGTCCTGCAATTTCTAAATTTTTACTGGTTTGATGGGGATTTGCAGTTATTTCTTACATTCTCTTTAAGGAGCCTTCAAGATGAGACTTGATTAAATTGTGATTATTCCTTCATATCCAGCATTCCAGTTATAATAGAAACTAGTGTTCATCCCAAAAGAAACACCAGGTCGTCCCTTCTACAGTTTGGCATATTTTTTTCTTTACTTATCTTATCCACAGATATTTACATAAGTAATATGAAAATTCCCTTTCAGTGGAGAGGATAGTTCCTGCATTTAATGGTACTTTTGTCCTTTTGAAGTCTGCGGTTCCCGTTCCATCAGGGTATGGACACATCTACCATTTAAACCAACGATGAAATTCCATTTAATTTCTCACACATAGGCCCATATGCTGAGATTGTATTTTAGCTTTGTTTCTGTGATGGCTGTTGGCGTACAGGGGGAGGAAGACAGTGATCAAGATCAGTTTTATATTTCTGTCATTAAACATGAGCCATATCACAAACCGCTCCAAAATTTTCTTTAGAGTTAGTGAATTTTCCCTTTTTGGCATTCCCTTTTTTAGCAGTCTTGTTTGAGATTTACTGAATGGGAGATTCAATAAAAGACTTCCCCCAAAATATTTTCCTAATTTATGTTAGCTAATGTAAGTTGTTTTATAATTGAGCAGTGATTTTTGGGTAATTGAGGTTGTCATCTGTCATCGTTCTGCATGACTGTACTTCTGTATATAATTTTAATTCTGTTACAGGGAATCTGTTAAAATAGCTTGTTTTTTCCACAAATCAGTAAGTTATTTACTCCACATAATCAAAAGGTAAAATGACATCTAAAATTGATTACTGTAGGTCTCCTGCTATCTTTTTCAGTTGTTATAACCTTTACATACTACTGAACTCCACAGCTGTTTTGACTTTTCCCTGTGTTACTGTTATGCCTTCGATGGTTTTAAAGGAATGTCAATAAAGCAACCATCTCCACGTACAAAACTTAATATTGGACACAACGCGCAGCTGGTTAAAAAACATTCATGCGATGCTAATTTTTTTCCATGCTGCCAAGAATGGAAAAGACTAGACATATGGAGATCTAAAAATGATTTTTTTCTCTACTATTGATTTTATTCCAAGATTGGTGTCTAAGGAGCAACAAAGCCCCGAGTAAAGCAAATCCACAAGTTCCTTTAGGGCTTTACCTACTCTTACTGCTGCTTCTGTATCTTGATTATGATGTAGCTTGTCTTCAGCTAATATTTCTATTTGATAGATATTGTGATTTATATTGGTTTATTACAGCCAGCTTCTCTAATCTGACATTGGTTTTGGATTTCAGAAATGTTACTAATTTATGAGGTATGTCCTGTTCTTTGGGAGAGGAGAGAGTGATGAGGCGTAGTCCTTTTATCTCTGTGGTGGTTTATACAGACAGAAAAAAGGTGATTTATTTTTTTTTAATGGTAAAAGTAAAGATTTGCTTGGTGGTTATTCAGATTTTTCAGGGAACTCAGGCTTGCCTGGAAGAACTAGACATTAGTTATATGTTGGTGGATGTACTACTCCCTGTTATCTTGTTAGTGTGTGGAATGTGACCGTAACCCATCAGAATTTAAGTAAATGGCAAGAATGTTGTGGAGTCGCCAAATTGACGAAAATTGCAAGGAAATTCTATTTATCTTATATTCATGATTAGCCTCCTGTGATATGTGTTCCTATTTCATGCAATACAGCAAGGATATTTCTATATTAAAAAAACAGTAATAATACGTCCTCCATGTTATTCTCATGCCCTGATAAATGTAGACTTAATCAATAGATGAGACTGTATTTGAAGGACAGGGATCAATCTCACTCATAGTATATTATTTTAAAGTTGTCATGTGCTAGTTTGAAATGATATTAGAACATGGAAAAATAGATCCCAGTTTTATTGCTCACTGCTTGCTATGACAAATCATTCAGTGAATAATGTCATGTCGGTTGCAAATTAGTGTTTAGACTTGCAAATTTTTGCCCATGTCTCATCGTATTGCCATTTGGAGACCTGCAGGTTCCAGCAAGGCTGTGCTTCATGGATAACATGGCACGGAAAGCATCTCCTGTGCCAGAAATATTTTGATGCTTTGATTATTTCTTTTCGGCGACTCTTGAATATCAACATCCTGTTTTTCAGGGAACTGTAAACTGAATAAATTTTACTCATTTGGCTTTGGAACATTTCATACCCTTAAAACAAAGCAATACCAAACTGGTAAAAATCCAGAATATGGTTTCTTTCCTCCTGCCCATCACTGTGTTTGCAGGAGGTGGAAATCATCCTGGTTTTTCCATCTCTACTTTTTGCTTTTGTTGCAAATTTTGGACAACACTCATTTGGGCGTGAGCAATAAATCACACTTGCAGTAGGCACATTATGAGGTTTTTGCACAAAAATGCATTCTAAGGAGAATAGTATGTTGAGTATTATAAAGGCAATGGCCTTAAAAATGGTTCCATAGTGTTCTTGAGCTGTTCTCAATCTGCCAAGGAGAAATGGTATTTTTATTTAAAAATATATTTTGCAATAGTCCTGCTGGTGTCATCATCATCATCTGCACAAATTTCAGCTGACAGTTTGAAATCAAATGGTACCCGAGAGACATTTATATTTGTCCATATGAGAGACAATAATACACGTTCACAGCTGGATTTTACAATGATTTCTGCCTGTCAGAGCATTATTATTTTCACCACCAGTAACAAACCAGTGCTACAGAGACACTCTTTAAAGTTCTGCACTTTATCAAATGCAGTCTTTCTAAAGCACTTTCTCTGTTGATAATCCTGTGTTCCAGGCTGAAGGAAACCAGACTAAATTTAGTCTACCCTTATTTATATTTCTTTGCAACATCTGCAGCTACTTTACATGACATGCTTTTAAGCTACTGTGGAGGTTTTAACTGGCCTAAGAAACTTTTAGCAAATGATTCATGATTCCAGTTTGGGAAAGGGCAAACTGGACAAGCACGGCATTACTCCAGATACTTACAGAACCCTTTGTTAACTCCGTGTTTCATTTCTTTATACACATCTATAACACTGAACATATTAATATATTAGTGTTTTTATTTTATTTCTTAAATATACGGTCTTCCAGCCCTTTTGTGAGTCTTAGTTTAAGAGATGTATCTGGATGGTGAAGGATAGTTCATAGCCAGGTTGTAGAGCATAAAGTCTGGAAACATCTATGATGAGTGATTCGCTCTTGTAAATTTTGCACTGCTTCATGAATACCCTTTGCAAAAAGATTCTGGGAATA